CGCCATGGTGTGGCCACGTCCGCCGCTTCGGTCTCGTGCCCTGAGGTCTCGAGGAGTGTGGGCAGGCAGCGCGGGCGGTCAGGTGCTTATCTGGCGCGAGGGTTGAGAACAGCCCTAGCTTCGGAGGGGTACCCTTAGGCTCTTCGTGTTGGGCGCCCTCCACCTCGAAATGCTCTTTGTCTGGGGCATCTCCGTGGGGCCTCGGGCCTCGAGCAACGGGGCTCGTGTTCTTGACCTGCGCTCTTGTGGCCATGCTTCGACCGTATCATTCCGTCTGGTCCAGTGGCGTCACGGTGCCCCTCAGTGCTTCTTCGCAGTTCTACCATGCGGAATTCGACCTTGAACACCTTCGCCGACGCCGCCGGCGCGCCACTGCCGCGTGAACCTGCCGTAGCGCGGGCGGGCAGGCATCCGCATCCACCGGTCCCCGAGTGCCCGCGCGGGGACGCGAGCCTGCGGCGGTGGACGTGGGCACGTTCTGGCGGCGCAGCGCACGCCGCCGCCGTCGCGGCGCGGGCCTGCCGCACCTCTGCGACGGCCTGCATGCATCGGGATGGCGGCAGTGAGCTCGCGAAAGGCAAGCTGGGGCAGTCTAGGGGTCCCGGATGGGGTCGGAGTGGATGGGGTCGGAGGATCGCGCCGCATCGCCGATGCATCGCCGATGCGGCTCGATGTGGAGCCCGATTTGCTTCACGTCGACGTCGCCGAGGCATCGCCCCCATCGACGATGCATCGCTGGTGCATCGCCGACGCATCGTCGATGCATCACTGATGCATCGCCGATGTACCGGCGATGCGGCGCGATCCTCCGACCCCGTCTACTCCGACCCCATATAGGAGGTCTCTAGGCAGACATTTGGGTTGAGAATCGCTCCGCCGGGAGTGCGAAACGTCCCCTGCACCAGCAACTGACGCAATAGTTTGACCTGTCCCTTCCAAGCTCGGCCACGTGCAGAGAGCGCGCCGCCAACAAACATCAAGAGGGGTCATCGGCCTCCCCCCATCGGTACGCCCGGTGGCCAGGTCTCGGCGCGCGTTGCGGCCAAGGGCAGATCCAGACCCACCGCATGCTGGGGTCCCAGAACGTCGGTCCCAGTGATTATTCAAAACGTATGGTTTGACACTTTTTTAGAACAGTCGTTCTTTCAAAATCCGCCCGCAGGAGGAGGCGTCCGACTCAAGGACATGGAAACGCTCCCGCCTGGCACGGGTGGCCCCCTTGCGGGGTGCGCTGTGACCTCCAGGACACCACGTGGCCACAGCCGGCTGCACCACAGGAGTGGGAGCAGCCTCGGGCGACGAAATCTATACATATCCACTGCTCCCTGACCGTGCCCATCTTGAACCCAGGAGCTGTGTATGCGCCCTCCTGGCCAAGCCAGGAGGGCGTGGCGAATACACCGCTGCGGGGTTGAGGATGGGCCTGGCCAGGGAGCAGTGGATATGTATAGATTTCGTCGCCCTACAGCCGGACCACGCTCCCGTGACCCGCACTCGCCTCCCCGAGCAGGCGCCCGGCGCGCGCCGTCTTCTCGGGCGAGGCCACGGCCTCGCCCGCCGCGCTCCCACGACGCCGCCGGGCGCCTGCCCGCGGCGCCCCGCTCCCGCTCCCGCTCCCGCGCGGCCCCGCCCCCCCCTTGTGGGATGCCCGGTGGCCAGCCCCCGGCGCGCGCGGCGGGGCCGCGGGGGGTCTGCGGCGCCTCGCGGCGGGGAGCGTCGCACGGGGGGGCCCAGGGCTGGTCAGGAGCGAAAGAAGGACGTACATGTACATGAATCCACGCTGTTTTCGAGAGCACGCATTTCACAAATGTTCGTATAACGCGGCCGGTCTCGCGAATCGAGGGGCCGTGTTCATGTACATAGCTGGGGGCGTACGTCCTTTGTGGGCTCCCTAGCTGGACTCTCTCTATACGGTCCGACCCGGGTAGGAGATCGAGGTCGGTTCGGGGTGCCCCGATGTTCTTCGTGTTCGTTGGATGCTCTTGCACATCCCGGGGGAGGGTACCCTGGAGTGTTCTGCCGTTTGGCCGGCGGAGGGTCTCATGTCTTTCAAGGGTGTTCTTTTCTGTCCTAGGTCCAGCTGTACCTAACCCCTTGCCTGGGGCCGTCGGCGTCATCGTGGGCGTCGTCGGCTTCCTCGGCGTCGTCGGCGTCGGCGCCGTCGGCGTCGGCGTCAGCGGCATCGGCGTCGTCGGCACCGTCGGCGTCGTGGCGTCGGCGCCGTCGTCGCGGGGCGCGTCGCCCCCCTGAGTCAGGCGATCGCACGCATGGATCAATGAGGTGTGGATGAGCGACGGGTCCCGTTTTCATGGGAAACCGCGGGTTTCCGCCGCCGAGCGAGGCGGGACCGGCCTGATCCGTGATCGCGCGCCCCCGAGAGGGGGGAAAATGAGAAAAGGCCTTCTCAGAAGGCTCGGAAGTTCCCCGGCCTTCCGAGAGGTTGTCTCGGCCTTCCCCGAATGCACGGAAAACGTCGCAGAAGCCGCGGGGTCTCCCGAGAAGTCCCGCCGCCTTCTTCGAGGGCCTTCTTTTTTCCTAACAGCGAAGACTGATAGGTTTCTAGTGGTGTCAAAAGAGAGCATTTGATGACTCAGAAGGGAGGTCTGGGCGGCATCCGGACAGCGAGGGCCGGGCTCAGGGCCGGGCTCGTTTTAAGTAAACAGTCGCACACACTTCGTGCTCTTCGACCTCCCAGAACTCCATTCCCGGGCCACATTTTGAATGCCCGAAGCCAACTGTAGGCCACTTCGTGCTCTACGACTTCCCAGAACTCCATTCCCGGGCCACATTTTGGATGCTCGGAGCCAACTGTAGGCCACTTCGTGCTCTTCGACTTCGCAGAATTCCACTCCTGGGCCACATTTTGGATGCTCGGAGCCAACTGTAGGCCACTTCGTGCTCTTCGACTTCCCAGATCTCCATTCCCGGGCGACATTTTGGATGCCCTGAGCCAACTGTAGGCCATTTCGTGCTGTTCGATGTCCCAGAACTCCATTCCCGGGCCACATTTTGGATGCTCGGAGCCAACTGTAGGCCACTTCGTGCTCTTCGACTTCCCAGAATTCCATTCCCGGGGTACATTTTGAATGCCCGGAGCCAACTGTAGGCCACTTCGTGTTCTTCGGGCCACATTTTGCTCATTGGATGTCCCCGTCATACCTCTCGCCACCCGATTGCCGGTTTGTTTTGTTCGTCATCGTGCAGGGCAAGACGGCGGACCCAGGCGTCATCGTGCACTGGACGTTTCCGCCAGAATCTAATACATGTAGTAGCAGTAGTAGGAGGAACAGGAGGAGCACGAGGAGCAGGAGGAGCAGGACGAGGGAGGCTCCGACTCTTTCCTCCCTCCCCTTTCCCCCTTCATTTCTGTACTGGGTACCCGACCCTTTATGACGTCCTCCGCAGACCTGGGAGGTCCACTCAGGCCGCGGGGGAGGATAGGGGGAGGTGGGGTCTTCTTCTTTCCCTAAACAGCTTGATCCTCGTCGCCAGTATTGAGGACGGGGGGAGTGCACCGTTCCCTCGGATGGGCACACCCCCCTCCTGGAGCTCTCGATTCCATCTCTCTCTCTCTCTCTCTCTCTCTTTCTCTCTTTCTCTCTTTCTTTCTCTCTCTCTCTCTCTCTCTCTCTCTCTCTCTCTCCCCTTCTTTCTTTCCCTCTTCGAAGCAACACTCTCAAGATCGTCATCATCAAGCGTCTGTGGTCTCACAGCGTCACAGACTCATCGTCTTCATCAGCCTCCCCGTAGCCTTCTTGGCTACAGCCCTGCTTTCGAAGATTCACTTTCAGAGGAACTGCGCAGCGCCTACTGCGCACCTTAATGCCAGGGCATGCTGGTAGTTCTCGGTCTGGCGGCGGTGCTCCTGAGCCTGCTGCATTGAACAGCGGTGCTCCTCAGACTCCGGCAGTGGACAGCGCTGCTCCTCAGCGTGCTGCATTGAGCGGTCCTCTGCAAACGCTCGTCGAGCACGTGAAGCAGTTCGGCCGGATACCGAAGCGAAATAAAGGAACGTCCGAACAAGAACGGGCCGAAAACAAGTTGGCCAAACGTTTCTCGGACCATCGCGACCGCATCGCCAAAGACATTTTGGATGAACTGCGGGCCCTGGGCTGTTCTGATCAGCGGACGGAGACCGAGGAGTTTAAGCGGAAGCAAAAGACCGAGGAGCTCATGCAGCAAGTGCGAGACTTCGGCCGCATGCCAGGACATGCTCGGGGCCAACTGTAGGCCACTTCGTGCTCTTGGACTTCCCAGAACACCACTCCCGGGCCACATTTTGAATGCCCGGGGCCAACTGTAGGCCGCTTCGTGCTCTTCCACTTCCCAGAACTCCACTCCAAGGCTACATTTTGAATGCCCGGAGCCAACTGTGCGCCACTTCGTGCTCTTCCACTTCCCAGACTTCCAAGACTCATCATCTTCATCATCATCATCGTCCCCGTATCCTTCTTGGCTACATCCCTGCTTTCGAAGATTTCCTTTCAAAGGAACTACTAGTGTTACCATCACTACTACTTCTACTGCTACTACTACTGTTAGTATTACTGCTGCTGCTGCTGTTGCTGCTGCTAGTGTAGCTATTGCTACTGCAACTACTGGCAGTGCCACTGCGATTGCCGTTGATGTTGCCACTGCGACTGCCACTGCGAATCTGAATGCGACTGCGATAACACCAGAATTCTACAACAGCACTCTTACATGAATACCACAGGCAATGTTTCCAGCTATGCTTCTACACATCGCTGTTATGTTGCTTCGCCGGGATAGCTACTTCCCTAAAACAGGGCTAGGATCGGGATAAATCGCTCCAGAGCGTTCCGGAGCGCTCTCAGAGCGTTCCAGAACGCTCTGGAGCGGCCGCGGCGCCCAATACATCTTCCAAACCCGCCGATCCTCAGAGATTTCGAGTTATCCCGATCCGATTTTGTCCCGATCTTCGCGTCGTTTTATTCCCTCCCTGGCCCGCCGCCGAGCATGCTTGTGCGCCCCTGCCTGAGGTGCTGAGGGAGGAGCTCACCCTGGTGCAGGCCAGCCTCGGCGACGGCGCCGCGGTGGTCGCCGTGGGGCGCCCGGACCTCCACAGCTTTCGGCGGCTTTCGGAGGAAAGGGTACCCCTACCTCTACCCTTCCCTCGTTCTCCCCTGAGCCTCCTGGGAGGCCCGCGTCGCCACCGCTGGACTCGCCTCGAAATCCTGGTCATCACGCGCCCCGGGAGAGGTGCGCGGAGCAGCGGTATCGGTACTTCTCGGTTTCCCCAGCCTCTGTGCGGACCCCAAGAAGAATGCACCACCACCCCCGTTGCTCCTCCCCCCCTCGTCCTCCCCTGGGGGCCCCGGCGTCTCGATTCTTTCTTCAGCCGGGCGCCGTCGCCCAGCTGCGGGCCCCGGGGCCCTCGCAGAGATCGATCCGGCTCGAGACACGGTGCAGGAGGGGAGAAAACACACAGACACAATTAATCGTCGATCCCCAGAAAATATGGGAAAATGTGGGAAGTGGGGGGGGAGACGAAGACCCAGAACATATAGGAAAATATGGGGAATCCTGTTATTTGTGTGTATTTATTTGTGTGCCCCAGGGCCCCCTTCAAAAGAATGCCTCAGGACGAACATCCGGCTGGGGGGTGGTCCAGACCTCCGGGGCCCTCGATTTGGCACGCCCCAAATGGGCACGGCTGGCAACAGTGTTAAGAGCAGTCGCCGTTTTGGATGGGGTACCCTGATGCTCTTCGCCGCTGGTCTCTCCACCTTGGGATGCTCTTCGTCTTGGGTGTCTCCACGGGGCCTCGGCCTCTCGGCGAAGGGGCCCATGCTCTCGATCCACGCTCCTGCGTGTGCAGCGGGTGTGGTTGCGCTGGGGTGTGGTTGAAGACCTGGGTCATTGGGGCGCGGCGGCGAGCTCTGTCGAGGTCCCCGCCCGCCCGTCAGGGCCAGCGTGCCGGTTGCAAATTTTGACGCCACGCCCTCTGCAAACCACCCTTTTCGGAGCCGCCGGATCCCGGCGGGCGAGGAACGGTATCTGAGATGGAGCTGCTCTCCGCTCTCGGGGGGGGCCCCGTCTCCGGGCGGCTGGAGATAGTCTGTGCCCCGAGCCTCTTGCAGTGGAGACCCATGCCAGGAAACACCCCGCTCGCCTGCAGGGTGCCCTGGGTGTCTCTTGGGTTCCGACGGTTTTGCGATGAAGAGCGTAGCGTTCCCACGCCAAGAATCAATGGACGTCCCGGTGTCTCAGGGTTGGGCTTCTCGTGGAAGGCTTCTTGTGGACTGGCCCCCACTCCACCCCTGGGGGTGCACGCTTCCAGCCGCCCTGGGATGCGGGCCCCCTCCCGAAGCCGGGCACGCGTATCCTCTCGACAGCTCTTCGCCCGCCAAACGTCGCATCCTCGGGCCGCAGTGGCCGGGTCACCATCTGGAGCCTGGGCTCCGCGCACCTTGGCAGCCTCGGCTGGCGCGAGAGCGCCGTGCTCGCCGTGGCCTTCTCGCGGGGCGCGGACCAGCTGGCCATGGGAGCGGCGGAGCGCTACCCTGGCGAGGGCTCCGCGCCCGCGGTGGTGTGGGCGCTGCCGTCCTGCCGGCAGGAGCGCGTGATCGAGGTCCCCGGCAGCTCCAGCGTGCGCGACGTCGCCTTCTCTCGATGATCCTCAGGACGTGTGCTGGCCCAGCGTGTGGGTTTACCCCACGTCCAGCTCCGCCGACAGCATGCGGCCCGTGCCGGCTTTCGCTGGACCGCCACGGCTCCAGCGGACGAGCACATGCTTCTGGACGCCCGAAATGGGTACCGAAAGAATGGGTACATTGCCCAACAGCAGTTCCCGTTCATTCTGAACAGGCCTCGCTGTCCACGCCGCCGCGGCCTGTGTCCACTCGAGGCAGGAGGCCGCCTGCCCAACAGCGGCCGCTGCTGGTTTGGGACAACATTTTCGGGGGAGCGTAAGACCCGGGTTTGCCGGGACTCGGGTTCGCCATCGTTTTTTGACGACCGCGACTCGGATTTTGACGAGGAGGAGTTTTGTGGGATGTCTGCAGCGGGAGGCCTCGTCAAAATGCAGGCTCGGCCTCGTCATTTTTTTGACGACCTCGTCGGGGATTTCTGAGTCCCCCGTACCCGGGTCTTACGTCTCCCCGATTTTCGGTACCCATGTCGGGCGTCCAAAATGCTGGCGCTGACACGCGTTCCCAGGATCATCGATGCTCTCCCTGCGGCGCGTTCCTGGCCACGGCCTCGGGCAACGGTGCCGGGGGGGCGGCGGCGACGTGGCGGCTGGCGGACGGAGCGCGAGCGCTGACGTTCGAAGGCCACGGCGCCCTCGTCAACTCCGTCGCCTTCTCGGCCTGCGGGGGCAGGCTCGTCTCGGGCTCAGTGGGCCCCGGACACGGCAGGGCCGTTCTGCCACCGTTTCCGAAACAGTGTCTCTTGAAGTTTGGAAGCGAGCAAAAAACGGCAACTAGGCACGGCAACAACCACAGGCAAAGACGGCACCGGAATCGGAACCGGAGCTGGGATTGGCAAAAATGGCGCCTGAACCGGCTTAACACCGGCAAAACAGAACCGGACACAAAAACGGCCCTGTCGTTTCCAGAGCCCTCTAAGGTCACGGGGTCGTGCGACACGACGGCCAAGGTCTGGAGGAGACGGAGGCGGAGGATGAGGAGAATGAGGAGGAGGAGGAGCAGGAGGAGGAGGAGGTGGAGGAGGAGGAGCAGGAGGAGGAGCAGGAGGAGGAGCAGGAGGAGAAAGAGGAGGAGGAGGAGGAGGACCAGTGTAAACCCAAGAGTCATCAACGATATTGGAGTAAACCCTCCCTGCAAGCTCCCTTTTCATAGGCCTCTTACAACTGTTCATTTTCACTGATGGAACTGCCTCGTTGGAAGACAGTCGTTTGAAGACCCTGAAGCATGCCAAAACATTGTTCTCGGGATTCCAACGCCATGGATCAACCTGACTGTTGCGTCTTGACGATCCTGAATCGTGCCAGAATGCCATTCCTAGGACTTCAACACAGAGAATCAACGTAACCTGCACCAGCACAAGCCTGAATCATTCCAAAGCGCTATTTCTGGTACGTTGATGATGGGAATTCTTGAAACTCCTGCAGAGTTTTAGAACGAATGTGCGCGGCGCTAAGGCGAGAGCCACATTTTGAAAATGAACCGCACTCAATCCGTCAAACTCCTTGCACATTTTTGGAAAGAACGTGCGCCGCGCTATGGCGAGAGCCACATTGTGAAAATGACCCGCCTTCAATCCGTAAAACTCTTGTAAACTATTAAAAAGAATGTACGCGGCGCTAAGGCGAGAGCCACATTTTGAAAAGGAGCCGCCTTCATCCGTGAAACTCCTGCACATTTTCAAAAACGAATGTGCGCCAGGAACCGCCTTCAATCCGTGAAACTCTTGCACACTTTACAAACGAATGTGCGCCGCGCTATGGCGAGAGCCACATTTTGAAAACGACCCGCCCCCCATCTGTGAAGCTGTTGCCAATTCTTAAGCTTCAGAATCGTAAATGGTGAGAAAGTCTCAGGCGAAACGCCCAGCCCGCCTGAAAAACTGGTTTCGGGGTGCGACAGGGAGAAGTTATTTATAGGAGAAGAAATTGAGGAGGATCAGGAGGAGCAGGCGGAGGAGGAGGAGGAGGAGGAGGAGCAGGAAAAGGAGCAGCAGCAGGACGAGCAGCAGGAGGAGGAGGAGGAGGAGGACTTGAAATGATATGGCTTAAGGGGTGCCTTAGCCCCGTACCACTCGACGTGAGGGTACATGCCTCGGGATACCCGTAGTGGCATCAGGTTACCGCGCCCGCAACGGCAGGATGGCCGAGCTTCGGCCATCGATGCGGACCAAGTTCCTCGGCTGCCTTGTTATGCCCTCGTTGTGAGGGTAGGATGCCGATGAGTCCCCTGTTGACAGGGGCGGGCATCCCAGCTCTAGGCTCGAGGTTGTGGATGCCAACGCCCGTCAACCGACAGGGCTGGCCATCCAAGCCAGAGCTGGTTCCCACAGGATACCAGGACTGGCAGACAGCTGCCGCGCCCGCAACGGCAGCATGGACGAGCTCTGGCCATCTACGCGGACCAGGGAGGGGGGAGGAGGCGGAGGAGGAGGAGGAGGAGGAGGAGGAGGAGGAGGAGGAGGAGGAGGAGGAGGAGGATTTGAAATGATATGGCGCCTTAACCCCGTACCACTCGACGTGAGGGTACATGCCACGGGATACCCGTAGTGACATCAGGGCACCGCGCCCGCAACTGTTGTGAGGGTAGGATGCCGATGAGTCCCCTGTTGACAGGGGTGGGCATCTCAGCTCTAGGCTCGAGGTTGTGGATGCCAACGCCCGTCAGCCCATCTAAGGAGCCTAGGCCCGCCTTCCTGCCCCCTTCGGAGCGCCGCCTTTGGATGCCAGCGCCTGGCCATCGACAAGGGTGGCCATCCAAGCCAAATCTGGCCCCCACGGGATCCTAGTGGTGGCATGCAGTTGCCGCGCCCACAGCGGCAGGATGGCCGAGCTTCGGCCATCTATGCGGACCAGGTTCCTCGGGTGCCTGTTCTTGCCCTCGTTGTGAGGGCAGGGTGCCGCAGGGTCCCCTGGAGACAGGGGCGGGCTTCCTAGCTCTAGTCACGAGGCTGTGGATGCCAACGCCCGTCAATCGACAGGGCTGGCCATCCAAGCCAGAGCTGGTTCCCACAGGATACCAGGACTGGCAGACAGCTGCCGCGCCCGGAACGGCAGGATGGCCCAGCTCCAGCCATCTACGCGGACCAAGGAGGGGGGAGGAGGAGGAGGAGGAGGAGGAGGAGGAGCAGGAGCAGCAGGAGGAGGAGGAGGAGGACTTGAAATGATATGGCTTAAGGGGTGCCTTAGCCCCGTACCACTCGACGTGAGGGTACATGCCTCGGGATACCCGTAGTGGCATCAGGTTACCGCGCCCGCAACGGCAGGATGGCCGAGCTTCGGCCATCGATGCGGACCAAGTTCCTCGGCTGCCTTGTTATGCCCTCGTTGTGAGGGTAGGATGCCGATGAGTCCCCTGTTGACAGGGGCGGGCATCCCAGCTCTAGGCTCGAGGTTGTGGATGCCAACGCCCGTCAACCGACAGGGCTGGCCATCCAAGCCAGAGCTGGTTCCCACAGGATACCAGGACTGGCAGACAGCTGCCGCGCCCGCAACGGCAGGATGGCCGAGCTCTGGCCATCTACGCGGACCAGGGAGGGGGGAGGAGGAGGAGGAGGAGGAGGAGGAGGAGGAGGAGGAGGAGGAGGAGGAGGAGGAGGATTTGAAATGATATGGCGCCTTAACCCCGTACCACTCGACGTGAGGGTACATGCCACGGGATACCCGTAGTGACATCAGGGCACCGCGCCCGCAACTGTTGTGAGGGTAGGATGCCGATGAGTCCCCTGTTGACAGGGGTGGGCATCTCAGCTCTAGGCTCGAGGTTGTGGATGCCAACGCCCGTCAGCCCATCTAAGGAGCCTAGGCCCGCCTTCCTGCCCCCTTCGGAACGCCGCCTTTGGATGCCAGCGCCTGGCCATCGACAAGGGTGGCCATCCAAGCCAAATCTGGCCCCCACGGGATCCTAGTGGTGGCATGCAGTTGCCGCGCCCACAGCGGCAGGATGGCCGAGCTTCGGCCATCTATGCGGACCAGGTTCCTCGGGTGCCTGTTCTTGCCCTCGTTGTGAGGGCAGGGTGCCGCAGGGTCCCCTGGAGACAGGGGCGGGCTTCCTAGCTCTAGTCACGAGGCTGTGGATGCCAACGCCCGTCAATCGACAGGGCTGGCCATCCAAGCCAGAACTGGTTCCCACAGGATACCAAGACTGGCAGACAGCTGCCGCGCCCGGAACGGCAGGATGGCCCAGCTCCAGCCATCTACGCGGACCAAGGAGGGGGGAGGAGGAGGAGGAGGAGGAGGAGGAGGAGCAGGAGCAGCAGGAGGAGGAGGAGGAGGACTTGAAATGATATGGCTTAAGGGGTGCCTTAGCCCCGTACCACTCGACGTGAGGGTACATGCCTCGGGATACCCGTAGTGGCATCAGGTTACCGCGCCCGCAACGGCAGGATGGCCGAGCTTCGGCCATCGATGCGGACCAAGTTCCTCGGCTGCCTTGTTATGCCCTCGTTGTGAGGGTAGGATGCCGATGAGTCCCCTGTTGACAGGGGCGGGCATCCCAGCTCTAGGCTCGAGGTTGTGGATGCCAACGCCCGTCAACCGACAGGGCTGGCCATCCAAGCCAGAGCTGGTTCCCACAGGATACCAGGACTGGCAGACAGCTGCCGCGCCCGCAACGGCAGCATGGACGAGCTCTGGCCATCTACGCGGACCAGGGAGGGGGGAGGAGGCGGAGGAGGAGGAGGAGGAGGAGGAGGAGGAGGAGGAGGAGGAGGAGGAGGAGGAGGATTTGAAATGATATGGCGCCTTAACCCCGTACCACTCGACGTGAGGGTACATGCCACGGGATACCCGTAGTGACATCAGGGCACCGCGCCCGCAACTGTTGTGAGGGTAGGATGCCGATGAGTCCCCTGTTGACAGGGGTGGGCATCTCAGCTCTAGGCTCGAGGTTGTGGATGCCAACGCCCGTCAGCCCATCTAAGGAGCCTAGGCCCGCCTTCCTGCCCCCTTCGGAGCGCCGCCTTTGGATGCCAGCGCCTGGCCATCGACAAGGGTGGCCATCCAAGCCAAATCTGGCCCCCACGGGATCCTAGTGGTGGCATGCAGTTGCCGCGCCCACAGCGGCAGGATGGCCGAGCTTCGGCCATCTATGCGGACCAGGTTCCTCGGGTGCCTGTTCTTGCCCTCGTTGTGAGGGCAGGGTGCCGCAGGGTCCCCTGGAGACAGGGGCGGGCTTCCTAGCTCTAGTCACGAGGCTGTGGATGCCAACGCCCGTCAATCGACAGGGCTGGCCATCCAAGCCAGAGCTGGTTCCCACAGGATACCAGGACTGGCAGACAGCTGCCGCGCCCGGAACGGCAGGATGGCCCAGCTCCAGCCATCTACGCGGACCAAGGAGGGGGGAGGAGGAGGAGGAGGAGGAGGAGGAGGAGCAGGAGCAGCAGGAGGAGGAGGAGGAGGACTTGAAATGATATGGCTTAAGGGGTGCCTTAGCCCCGTACCACTCGACGTGAGGGTACATGCCTCGGGATACCCGTAGTGGCATCAGGTTACCGCGCCCGCAACGGCAGGATGGCCGAGCTTCGGCCATCGAGGCGGACCAAGTTCCTCGGCTGCCTTGTTATGCCCTCGTTGTGAGGGTAGGATGCCGATGAGTCCCCTGTTGACAGGGGCGGGCATCTCAGCTCTAGGCTCGAGGTTGTGGATGCCAACGCCCGTCAACCGACAGGGCTGGCCATCCAAGCCAAAGCTGGTTCCCACAGGATACCAGGACTGACAGACAGCTGCCGCGCCCGGAACGGCAGGAAGGCCGAGCTCCGGCCATCTACGCGGACCAGTTTCCTCGAATGCCCAGCTTTGCCTTCGTTGCGAGGGTTTCGATGTCAGGCCTGCCACAAAAACAGGTTCAGTCATCGTGGCTGTGGGCTGGAGATGTAAGCGGCGCGCCGAAGGGGCCACGGGGAAAACTGGGCAAGGCTATCGTATAAGAAACAGGAGCAATAACAGTAGAAAGAGCAGCAGCAGGACGAGCAGGAGGAGGAGGAGGAGGAAGAGGAGGAGGAGGAGGAGGAGGAGGAGGAGGAGGGCACGACGGCCGAGGTCTGGAGTACGGCGGATGCCTCGTGCGCGGCCACCTTCGCTGGCCACAGCTGCGCAGTGAGCGCCGCGAGGCTGTCGCCGGTCGGTCGCCTGGCGGCCAGCTGCTCCGAGGATGGGAGCGCCTGCGTGTGGTGCTCGGACAGCTGCCACCGCCTGTGGTGCGTCCTCGCTGGTCACCTCGACTGCGTGTGGTCCTCAGGGGCAACAACAGGGGGGATAGGCTTAAGTCGGGCTTGTCTCTCTACAGGAGGAGTGTTCAAAAATAGTCAAACAATAGTTTGGGACGATTCCTGGAGTATTTTTGGATTGTTTTTGAATCTTTTACAAGGTATTTTTTTCGCCCAAACTCCGCCTGTAGGGGGACAGGCCCGACCTAAAGATAGGCATACAGTGGGGGCCCATGCCAAGAAACGCCCTGCTTGCCTCCAGGGTGCCCTGGGTTTCTTGGGTTTCGAGGGTTTTGCTGTGGTCCTCGACGGTCACCTCGACTGCGTGTGGTCCTCAGGGGCTACGATAGGGGGGGATAGGGATGGGGCGTCCACTGCGCGCCGCGGCTCGCGCAGGGCGTCGAAAGTTTGATGCTTTCGGACTCTTGCGTCGGCTCCAGGCGGCTCTCCAGCGTCGGGATGCTGACCAGCGGCCGCGCCTCGTCGAGGGCGTTCCGGGGTTGCTGGGATCGTCCCGAACGGAAAACTGAGTTATGGCACGAAAACCGCCCAGCACGGGGATAGGCATAGTGGGGATGCATCGACCTCCAATCGCTTACTGATCGCCGAAAGGGGCCCGATAGCCCAACCTGCCCAGGAACGCGGGGACTTGCCATCATGAGCCTATCGCCGATCTGTCGGCGATGTATCGCCGCTTCCAGTTCAATGTTTCCCCCCCTGTGCCAATCCCCCCCTACCGTTGCCCCTCAGGTCCGTTGCGTTCTCGCCGGACGGCGCCAGCGTCGTGACGGGCTCCGCCGACGGCCACGCCCGCGTCTGGGACGCGCAGTCCGGCAGGTGCAACCAGGAGTTCGCCTGCACGGACGAGGACGTCCGCTCGGTCGCGTTCTCGCCCGACGGCGCGAGTGTCGTGACCGCCACGGACAACAGCGTGCGCGTGTGGACTGGAGGGCTCCAAAAGGGGGTTTGGGCAGAGGGGGCTGCAGAAGCGTGGGCTTGGCACAGGGGAACAAACAATGACATAACATAAAAAACGCGGCTGTCCGTGCGAATTCCTCGGATCCGCGCAGGAACCCCTTCGGCGGCGCTGGAGGGGAGCCCAACACCGATCCGAGGAATCCTCGCGGACCGCCGAGCTTTATGTTTATACCATTGTTCCGTTCCCTAGGGCCAGCCCCGCCTGCCCTGCCCCGCTCTGAGGCCCTCCAGGCGGAGCCTGGACCAGCGCGAGTGCACGAGGTTTTGGGAGGAGAGCTTTGCGCCCATGGCGGTGTTTTGAGCACGCGGCCAGAAACTTTCCCGTGGGCGAGGGAGGAGGAGTAGGAGGAGGAGGGAGGAGGAGGAGGAGGAGGAGCCCGGAGGGTGGAGGAGAGGAGAGGAGGGAGGAGGAGGAGGAGGAGGAGGAGGAGGAGGAGGAGGAGGAGGAGGAAGAGGAAGATGAGGAGTAGGAGGAAAAGGAGGAGGAGGAGGAGGAGGACAAGGAGGAGGAGGAGCAGGAGGAGGAGGAAAAGTAGCAGGAGGAGGAGGAGGAGGAGGAGGAGGAGGAGGAGGAGGACGAGGAGGAGGAGGAGGAGGAGGATGAGGAGGAAGGAGTGTTGCGTTCCGACTGGGTGAGCTGGATAAGCTAAGGAGTTAGTCAGACGGATGTCGCTACCGACGCCGTTTGGCCCAAGTGATCAAGTGGAGCGTGCGTTGACCCCCACTTGTTCAACACATATAGTCGATGCGTTCTCGTGAAATTGAAATGCGCATGATAGCGGAACGATGTCAACGGCAGCCGCAGCAGCGGCTCCAGCACATCCAGGAGATCCACTCCCAGAATTAACACACACACACACACCTCAAACATCGTAGCCAATGATTCTGTTTGAGCCCAGGCCGCACACGATTGAGGATATTACGGTTATGTGGAATTTGCCTTGGGATCCAATACTGCATGCATGAGAGGCTCCATACATATAGACACGGCAGCACGGGTCAGGGCAGTTACGAACGAAGGAAGGAAGTTATGGTTTATTGTTCATGGCCCAGAAAATGAACTCGCTATGGTTGAACAGCGTCAGTCGCAGCATGTATGCAGAGGGGGAGGCAACTACGTTGAAGTTGAGAGATGAGCATTCAGAATATCAGACAATAGTTCAGAAGAAGACGATGGATCATAGTATCAACATTGCCGAACCACTGGCATAATACAGGAACGGACAGGCGGAGGAAGACTGAAACCAGTCAGCGCATACAAGGCTATGCAGCACTAGAAAGGTTTCGGGGAAACAAAGTTTAATTCCGTGAGTGGAGCGAAAAGCTGCTGAACGCTCCAGCGTAAGTTAACCCGACCTATCGCATAATATTCGAGAACCGAGTGTGTAAGCTTGAAGCCATGGACCGGACTCTGCATGAGGAAGATGATGGCAACGTGACCCGAATCCCACATGGAGAATTGCCAGCCGCAGAATACACTGAACAAGATGGGGGTACTAACAACATATTGTTAAACATTTTGAATAACACGTGAGGCCCGAGTAGCAGCCAGGGGGGCCCAAACGGCTGCGCGAAGGAGACGCGTTGAACGCGTATTGAAAGATACAGAACTCGCCCTCGGCAGTCGCAGGCGTTGCGTTGTCGGCCAGAATAAATTCATCTATGAATCCAGACAGTGCGAAGAACACAAACGATGTGGCGACGCAGTTTGAAGAATGAATTGCCCTGGTGGGAACGTTACAGAAGTACGGCGACTGTTTCGAGGGGTGGCGCCAGGAATGTTTCAACATGCCAACTTCGCTCGCGCTCTATGTCGAGTGCGTAGATTGGGCGCTCGCAGAGAAGAACGGGCGCTTCCAGAAGAAAACGACGCCGTGGATTTTGGTGGGGTGAGCGGAGCAAATGCGGATAATGCTAATGTTTGGGATGCGCGTGAGGGCTGAAACCCGGAAGGAAACGTTGACGAAGACGGTTCTTGGTGAGCCCGAAACTAATTGGGGACAGAGCGAGGTATCATAAGGTGTAGAGAAGCAGTACATGCCGTTGGCAATGGCGAACGAGAGTTGGAACACACCCTAAATACTACAAGTGTAGTTAGTTCGGCCGCGCAGCTGCGAACTGCAGAAAGGGAGGAGGAACCAGCAACAATTCCAAAGTGGGATACAAAGGGAGACAGATGATTGATAGGCATTGCAACGAAGGAAAAAGCCAAGGAAAGGAACCAATTGCGGCGGGAAAAGGCCCAGGAGGATGGGGCCGCAGGGCCTTCGTTCCCATGGCTGACATAGAATGATGCAATCGCTGCAAGAAAGGGTGCATGGCGGCCTTTTGTGATAGACGCGCGAAGCGGAGCAGGCCGGCGAAACGAGGCATTGGCTGGAGGGCCATGGTGGATCAGTTGGCAGCGCAAACGTGCAGGTGTTCAGGTAGTGGCAGCGTTTGGCAACGACCCCGAAATTGTCGCAATGTCTGGAAAGGCAACCAGGGACAATGCGAAGCGGTGGTTGTGACGTTGGACCCTGTGCGCGCAGCGCAGCGGGGCCGCGGGGCCCGGGGTCCCGCGGCCCAGCGGCGCCTTCGCAAGCATCCCCAGCTGGCAGACAATATAGTGTAGCCAACGGGGCGGCTGTCGAGGAGCGCGGGTAGGATCGTCGCAGGGGATGGCGACAAGGGGGACGCAGTGATCGTGCCCATCCATGTGGCAGGTGTTAAGAAGGTCTTAGGTTCGGCCGGGGAGAGGTCGAGGCAGGGGGCCGTATAGTGCTAGATCGAGACGTGATTGGGCGCGCCTCCAGATGCATTGGGCCACGGAACCTCAGGTCAGCGTGTGGCAGTGCATGGTCGAGGCGTCGCGCTGCAGTTCGATCAGAGTGCCGGCAGGTCCAGGGGGTCCGGGCCCCAGCGGGGGCCCGGGAAATGGCGGGCGGCGAGGGTTTCCCGTGGCGGGGGGTCCTCGCGAAGGACATCTTCCTTTGCGTCCGCCAGGGAGCCCGCGGTCCCCGCGCGGGCGCATGGTATTTCAGGGCGGGGCGGCGATGAAGGAGGCGATGGGAATGGGGAGGTCGAGTTAAGTGAGGTGTGGATCGTCTACGACAGAAGAGGCGGGTATGTCCACGAGAGCGCAATCTGAGTTTATACCAAGTAGCGAGGGGGTTGAATTCTGCAGCGCCGTAGGTCTTCCTCGCCGAAGTTGGCGCACCCCGCCGCGTTGAAGGGGGGCCGGGGTAATATTTCGATCCAAAGGAGGTCTTTGAGAGAAACCGGGTTGCCCTACATCTCCGCAGAATGCGCGCGGCTAAGCAGAGCTGAAGTGAGAGTGAATAATCTGGATGATCTAGAAGGATGCAGTGCTGGTCGCGCGTTGTAGGGGCGCTGAGTTAATTTGGGGCAGAGCGTTCCGCTGTTTGTCTGTGTTTTTGTCTTTCTTTTTTTGGTGTTTATTTTTTAGTATAACAACTCTTCTTCTTCTTCTTCTTCTTCTTCTTCTTCCTTTCTGTTTTGCGCGGCGGGGCCGTGCTTCAAAGCGACGGCGGGCCCCCCGTCGCGGTTCTTAACGAGGCTGCCAGAGGAATGTGCGGTCTAGACATGGGCGTTCAAATTATTTGCCCTCCGGGCAGCTCGCGCGCTTTCGGGGGGGTCGAGAGGGCCGTTGTAAGTGAGTTAGCCAACCAGTGCAAGACAGAGCTCGGAGAGACTCATTCCGCGATGCCGAGGCCCGCGTCGCGCGCGCAATCGGCTCTGAATATGTTCGCGTTGGGAACTGGCGGGGGGGGGGGGGCCGCGCGCGAGGGGTTCGCCAGGCGAGAGTTTGGCAGCGAGCTGCCTCGCCGTGGCGCGCGCGCCATGCGTCTCCGAGCCCGGGCGAGAAAGCAGGGGGGGAATTGGAAGCCAGGTCGGCAAGCTGAGCGTTCTTGGGCAGTGGCGACCTCAGCCAGGAACTGATTATTGAGGCGCAGCAAGGGGGAAATCACATTGCAGGAATTCAGAACAAAACGACGGCGCAGAGAGGAGGGGCGGCGGAACATCGACGAGGTGGCCGACATGGCGATCCCGCTTTGGCAGCCGGGCCCCCTCGCAGCTGGGGCTGTCGTTGATGCGAGTGTGACCGTTCCGATCCTGAGGGGGCCCGAACGCGGCGCCGTGGTCAGCGCGAGTCCAGTTTTGGCAAGGGGTCTTGCAGTCAGAAAGTTCGAATTCATTGCGACGGAGTCTACGCTTGGATGCCTCTGTTGCGCAGCCGTAGTCAGGGGGGGCGCGAGCCGCAGGCCGCGCGGCGCAGAGTGCTGATCCTGAGTCGCTGAGTGGTTGCAACAGGACGACCCGCATGTCCAGGATCGGCTTGCGTCGGCGCCGCTCGGGCAGGGGCGGCCCCCCAGGGGGGGTTAGGCCGCCTGTCTCCAGCGGGAGAGTCAGAGTTCCAGATCTTATCGCAATGGGCGTTCAGAAAGCGTAGAGCAATGCGACGACAAAGGGTGCCGAGAACAATGCTGCGCGCGCCCGACAGGCAACCCCTCCCCCCGCTGACAGTTGACATCATCGGACGAAGGGGCAAGCTAGGAGAGAATGGGATTAGGTCATGCGATGGTCAGAGAGATTTGCTAAATCGTGAAATGCATGACGCGTGGAGAGGGGCTGGGGATCAGGAGATCGGGAGCGAATAGACTGGCTGGGCTGGGTTCGGACGAGAGGAGGAAAAGCAGCCGCGCGCAGAGATGCAGCCGACGCCAGGGGCGGCGCCATTTGCCGCTCTGGCAGTTAGGGGGGGGGGGGGGGGGGGCAGATCAGCTGAGCGGGGACGTGCGCCCCGGGGGGCTACCTGCTGATGGGGCGAGGGCGGTCGCATTTCTTATATATATATATATACATATATATTGAAAAATACAGTAGGCACGAGCGATGACATCGCCGAGTGGTAAGTCAACCATGATGTGCAGACGCCCGAAGCATTTGGCACAGGCGAGACAGCGGTTGGAGTTTTCTGAAAGGGGCAAACGGCAGTTCATGCGCGTGTGACGGATGCATGCTCGTCTGTTTGCGTGACCGTGCTGAACGCTCGGGTTGGCATTTGACCTGGGCGCGTGCGATGAGCGCAGCAACCCGCGGGGTTACCAACGGGCAGTGAGATGAACTGATGAAAGAAGTTAGCAATGTTATTGGTGGTGCGTCCCATGTGTTCGGCGTCCAGTAGATTCAAGCGTGTGACGTTTGAACGTTGGGCGCTGACATGACCAGGGAACTGTTGGAAGGAGGGGTGAGGCATCCGAGCTGCGCTATGGAACAGTTGGAGGCCGAAATAAGGCG